CCCCCAGTGGCACAGCAGTATGTCTGCGGACTTACAACGCTAGAATCCGGGTTTCGATACCAGTGGTGAGCAGAACACAGATAGCCCACTGTGTAGCTTTGTGCTTAACTTCAATTCAGGAATAAATTATTCTGCCTCGTAAGAAAAGTTTTACATTAGATTGGGAAGTTTAATATTTTTCCAATGGTCATCGAATGGTGAGGATATTTTACAAAAATTATTTTTTAAACCTTATTCCTGCTGTGATCAGGTGAAGGTTAAATCACTCTCATGCCGAAATGGCACATTGGATTCGGTGCTGGATTGTGTCTCGGTTTAAATAAGTGGATGAGAATGCTCACACATTTCCTCTCTGGATTCTTTAAATGTCAGATGTATTATATATGTTTATTATCTGTATAACGTGTACATTGATACAAGGTATATTCTAAAAATATTTACATTTTTATCATGGTATAGCTCAAAACTATAAGACAAATCAACTAGAAGAATATGAGGAAAGGCCTGTTATAAGGAGTGTTTGAAAGTCTTTCAGTTTTATTTTACAATCAATCTAAATTATAGGATGTATATATATAGATTTACCAATTAACTTTTGTCTTGCTCTGATTTACCAGCTGACTTTTGTCTTGCTCTGATTTACCAGCTGACTTTTGTCTTGCTCTGATTTACCAGCTGACTTTTGTCTTGCTCTGATTTACCAGCTGACTTTTGTCTTGCTATGGTTTACCAATTGACCTTTTTCTTGCTCTGATTTACCAGTTGACTTTTGTCTTGCTTTGTGAATTTAAAATCAGTATCAAGTACACTTTCTTCTTGTGAACAATTTAAAGGTTTCTTATTCCCTTTTTTTTCCATTCAAATTTCAAATGGTTCCTGTTTATTATTTTCACTTTTAATAAGAAGCTTCAGTAAATAAGCAAGTGGGGGTTGGACATCGATAATTAACTTCAGAATAAATATCTGTCAAATTTTTACACACAATGGAATGAATGTCATGTTGGTGAAGCACGTGAAGTTACAGCGTGATACTTCTCACGGTTATTCTAATTACAGTGTTAAAAAACTATTTCTTTTATAAACCAGTGAAATTACCTGTTTTGTCAACCATTGAGAAGTTGTCACACAACCATCATTGGAGCAGAAATATTTAATATGTTGAAAGTGAAGTGTTTGTTTGGGGAAGTGAGATTTTAAACTAATTTTTTAGCTTAGCTGGTAACTATAATAACTATAAAAAAATAGGTAAATAACTAATAGCTATAAAAAAAACAGGTAAATACACAATACTGTGTAAAGAAATTTAAATCCACACTAATTGAACAATACTAAATTTAAATCCAACTAATGGAACAATACCAAATTTAAATCCACACTAATGGAACAATACCAAATTTAAATCCACACTAATGGAACAATACCAAATTTAAATCCACACTAATGGAACAATACCAAATTTAAATCCACACTAATGGAACAATACCAAATTTAAATGGAAAATAATTTTGACATTTC